ATGGCGGCCTCAAGGTCAACCAGGGTTCGAGTCCCGGACCTTGTGGCTTCAAAATTACTCTGGGCATGTGTGTGTACATGCCCAAGATCCTGGGAGTAGAATGGAAGAAAAAGGATTGTGGAGTGGCCATCCCCCCAGGGGGTGATTTTTCACTTTCCCTCTGACTGTCTCTGTTTCTCTCTTTTTCTCTCTGGGCAAGCACACATTCCCTGAGCCAAAAACCCCTTCATAAAAAAAAAAAAAAAAGAAAGAAAAAAAGAACCTGACACTGAATGAGACCACCTAGGAAGTGAAAAAGCTAGGATAATGGGATCAGCAGATGGTGTAACAGCTACGTCGCTGGGATCCCATGTAGTCAACCGTGGTTTGAGTCCCATACCAGGTGGCTTAAAACTCACACTGGGCACATGTGTGTGCGTGCCCAAGATCCTGAGAGGAGAATGGAAGAGAAGGGATTGTGGCCTGGCCATCCTCCCTGGTGGGTGGTTCCTCGCTTTCTGTCTGTCTCTCTGTCTTTCCAGCGAGTGCACACACCCTATAGCAAAAACTTCTCCAAAAAAAGAAAGGAAGGAAGGAAGAAAAAGCTAGGACAAGAAAGCTCCAGGGTGTACCTTGGGAGCCACAGCAGGGTGCCAGGAGGACTGAGGAGCAGCTAGGGAGGTAGGGAAATAGGAAGGAGCTTCTAGGAAGAAAGTGTCTGTAAAGTCATGACCCACAGCTGGCAGAGTGGCGGGGGGCAAGACCCCTGGAAAGGGCTCCCTGGGAACAGTGAGGGGTCAGGCCGGGATGGGACCGCTATTCCCAGCTGCAGACTCGTGCCTTAGGTCATGTTTGGCTGGTCATCGCTGAGGGGTGCTCTCAGGGACGTAAGGTAACTGCTGCTGAGTTAAGAGCTAGCCCAGAGCCCTGGTGGCTCCAGAGTGTCCACCCAGTGCCTCTCATACCCCTTCCATATCTCAGCTCCCAGACACCAGCTGGATGTTCTGTGTGCCAGCTATTCCACTGGGCCCTGGGCGATGGAGTGGCTATGACAGCCTAATCCAGTGGAATCTACAAGAAAGATATTAAAACTATTAAAGAAATTTAAAGATTGCTCAATATATGGATAGGTGGGAAGAAGGAATTACAAATGGGCACAAGGAAAGTTTGGGGGTGATGGATAGACTCACGATCTTGATTGCTACGATATGCTTCACAGGAGTACACATATGCCAAATGTATCAAATTGCATTATAACTAGTGAAGTTTACCGTGTCTTTTCTTTCTTTCTTCTTTCTTTCTTTCTTTCTTTTCTTCTTTCTTTTTTTTTAAGAGAGATGTTTTTGTTTTGCTTTGTTTTTGCTATAGAGTGCGTGGGTTTGCTAGAGAGACAGAAAGCTAGAAATCACCCCCACCCAGGGGGATGGCCACACTGCAATTTATTCTCTTCCATTCTCTTGGATTTTAGCATGCACGCACACACACCCGGTATGAACTTCAAGCCGCCAGGTCTGGGACTTGAACCATGGTTGGCTATGTGAGTGTCTAGCACCTTAACCACTGCACCAACTGCTGGCCCCAGAGCTAATCTTAAAGGATGGATCAGATTTGGTCAGTCAGAGAGGAGCTCAAGAAAGTAGACAGTGGAGGGAAGGGAGGAAGGATCAGGCTGGCCAGTTTAGGGGAGAGCTGGGGAGGTGCATGCAGAGCCAGGGAGCAGGGGTGCGGCAGGCAGCCTGGAGGCACACTGCCTCAGTCCCCTGCTGAGAGAACCCGTGCCCTGCTCTCTAGTCGAGGGCTAAGCATGGCAGTGGCAGCAGGGCTCGCCAGTCGGCAGTCTTGCGCCGGAGTTGCCCGCGGAGCTGGCCAGGACTTCTCAGCGCGGCACCGTTAGTGCTGGCCCGGCTCACTTGCGTCTCCCTGCCGGCACTCGCCCATTCCCCAGCCCCGCCAGTGATGTGAGGAAAACGCTTGCCCTCCAATTCTTGACCTCCGCTTCTCAGAGGACCCAACCAATACTGGGCTTCAAGTTGCACCTCTGTTCTTCGTCTGGGGAAACCCCTTCACTGTACTGTGGCTTCAGGATTCTCATGTGGAATTGCTACAGTCCAAAGAATGCTTTGGGTTCATATGACAATTAGTCTTCTGAAAACTGCATTCCTTCTCAGCCAGTCCTGGTGGGAGTGCTGAGTCTTGGCGGGACCCTCTTGTGTCCTTTGTGGGGTCTGCACACCCTCCCCTAGGGCACACATGAACATTCGTTTTAGCATGGCTGAAAAACACAGTGCTCTCTGGGCCCGGAGCAAAGCGAGAACAGGACAGTGTGCTGGCGGGCTGTGGGTGTGAATGAGGGGTGTGGGGCCGCAGCCGCTCAGGGAGGCGTCCTGGTGGTGCTGCTTGTGCAGAGTCCTCAGGTGAACAAGACCTCTCTAGGTAAGTGGTGGGCTGGAGCTCTCGGTCTGAGGATGCCCCTGGCCGAGATGAAGTGCAAGGAGCAGGAGGTGAGTGACCGCCCCACTGACCTGCATCTCCTTGTCTTTTACAGAAAGGAAGGCAGAGGAAGCCAAGGCCGCTGGACCCCGGCGAGGGCTCCAAAGACACAGACAGCTCTGCAGGGCGACGGGGCAGTGCGGGCAGAAGGCATGGGCGCTGGCGGGGTCGTGCTGAAGGCCCGGGTGTGCCCGTGGCCAAGGTGGTTCGGGCGGTAACCAGCCGGCAGAGATCCAGCCGGCGGGTCCCCCCGGCCCCACCCCCAGAAGGCCCAGGCCGCCAGAACCTGAGCGGGGCCGCAGCGGGGGAGGCCTTGGAAGGAGCAGCTGGCTTCCCACCACATGGAGACACGGGGAGTGTGGAGGGCGCCCCCCAGCCCACGGACCACAGCTTCACCCCTAAGTGCGAGATTGTGGGCAAGGACGCGCTGTCTGCACTGGCCCGGGCCAGCACCAAGCAGTGCCAGCAAGAGATCGCCAACGTGGTGTGCCTGCACCAGGCTGGGAGCCTCATGCCCAAGGTGGTGCCTCGGCACTGCCAGCTGGCTGGTGAGGGACGGGGCGCTCCAGTCCCTCCTTGGCATGGACGGGCGGGGGTGGGGGGGCATGTGTGCTGGACCCTACCCCATTTCTCAGAGGTAGAAAGAGCTCAGAGAGGCCACCGCCCTGCGGTAAGTGTACCGAGTGGCAGAGGTGGAGCTGGGACCCGGGGACATCAGGCTCCCAGTCTGGGCTTCTTCCTTTAGAAGGCAGGCAGCCCCCTTGTTCCATCTCACCCCACTCTGTGACCTAGGAGGGCCTTACCCAGGCCCTGTCCTCTGCCCTCAGGGAAGGTGAGTCCCGGCATCCAGTGGGACGAGATCCGGGCCCAGCAGCCCGTGGATGGCCCCTCGGTACGAATCGCCTACATGCTGGTGGTTCATGGCCGCGCCATCCGCCAGCTGAAGCGTCTCCTCAAGGCTGTCTACCATGAGCAGCACTTTTTTTATATCCACGTGGACAAGGTACTGTGGGAGGGAGGTCGCGGGTGAGCAGGACAGAGACTCGGAATGCCGCAGAGAGACAGAGTCTCTGACCTGGCTCAGGTAGCCTAGAGACAGGGAAACTGAGGCCCAGGGGCGGGAGGTGCAGCCAGGTCAGGGGCTGCAGCCAGTTAGGAGCCGGGCCCTGCCTGTGCTCTCTCCAGCTCCCCCGTGCTCTTTCCCGGCGTGGAGGCGGTTGTGGTGCGGGGCCGTGCTGCGTCTGCTGAGTCTCTCCTCCCCGCAGCGCTCCAACTACCTCCATCGTGAGGTGGTGGAGCTGGCTCAGCGCTACGACAATGTGCGGGTGACGCCCTGGCGCATGGTCACCATCTGGGGTGGGGCCAGCCTCCTGAGGATGTATCTGCGGAGCATGCGAGATCTGCTGGAGGTGCCCGGCTGGGCCTGGGACTTCTTCATCAACCTCAGCGCCACTGACTACCCGACCAGGTGTGGGCACGGGGCTCCTGCACAGGGCAGTGGAGGGCCCCGATGGAACCCTTCCCCTCCCTCAAACCTCATGCTGGGGTCCACACGACCTAGACATGACCCCCTTGGCCCCAGCCATGTTCGAGGGAAGGGGTGGGGAAAGATGAGCCGAGATGAGAGGAGGAGCCGGACGTCTGCCCCTGGGCACTGGGGCCATGGCATATAGGAGGGGTGGGGAGGTCTTCCTCGGGGCTCCCAAGGCCCACCACCCAAGCATCGGCCAGGCTAGGGCACAGAGCCACACAGCGTGCAGTGAGAAAGGAAGGGCCCGGGATGAGGTAGAGTGCTGGAGGGAGTCTGCCCTCACGCGCCCCTTCCCTGCACCCCCACCAGGACCAACGAGGAACTGGTGGCATTCCTATCCAAGAACCGAGACAAAAATTTCCTCAAGTCACATGGCCGGGACAACTCTAGGTGAGCAGGATGGGGCGGGAGGCCTTGACCCTGGCCCTGGGTCTTGTCACAAGTCCTTGAGCACAGCAGGGGGAGTGCCACGGCTCCCACCCTGGGTTACAAAGCCCCCAACCAATCACAGATTGAGGAATGCTGGTTGCCAGGCAGATGAGAGACTGGACTGCCCTGTGGGGCCCTCTGCCACCCATAGGTTCATCAAGAAGCAGGGCTTAGACCGGCTCTTCCATGAGTGCGACTCACACATGTGGCGCCTGGGCGAGCGGCAGATCCCGGCGGGCATTGTGGTGGACGGTGGCTCTGACTGGTTTGTGCTGACGCGCAGCTTCGTGGAGTATGTGGTGTACACGGATGACCCGCTGGTGGCGCAGCTGCGCCAGTTCTACACGTACACGCTGCTCCCGGCTGAGGTGGGGACTGGCCAGGCTCGGGGCCGGGGAGGCGAGGGTGGGCCGCCCACGGCTCACACTGTCCCTTCCCTGCGCCCGCAGTCCTTCTTCCACACCGTGCTGGAGAACAGCCTGGCCTGCGAAAGCCTCGTGGACAACAACCTACGGGTCACCAACTGGAACCGCAAGCTGGGCTGCAAGTGCCAGTACAAGCACATCGTGGACTGGTGCGGCTGCTCCCCCAACGACTTCAAGCCACAG